AACGTTTATACAACTATTTTATACGGCACATTTGCACGTTAGTCAAAATGGTTGTGTTGTGGCATCCATGGTAACGTTTATAAAACAAACCCGAGTCTTGTTGTTTTGCTGTGCATATTACTACTTTAGCCGACAAGTTGCTCCCGACGGAAGCACTTATAAAACTGTTGTTTAGTAACTGTTAAAGGCTGTACATATGCTAAATATGTTGGTATACAACTTCACCATAACCTAACCTTCTGCTGTCACATTTTTGTTAAAATGCCAAGGTTTTATCAACTGTTCAAACAGAATATATAGATCTGGTACAAATTCTGGGTAAATCATTGGACTCTGTCGGTATTTCATTTCAGACGTTTGTCAAATTGTTGTATAACACATGCAGGCAACACCAAAATATTCTAATAAACTGAAGACAACATGGACGATGCCATGATTATACACAACCACCAGCCATATAGGGCAAACATTTATTTCTCTATTTAATATTAAATAATTATGTTTCAGTTCGAAATTACAGATATAAAGTGATAAACATTAGTGTAATTGTGTCTAAATATAGGATTTGTGGAAGATTTGACGCAGATAAGTTCAGTTTTCCATCTTAAAAATCTAGACATACTTTTGATCATTATCAAAATATGCATGAAATAAGAAGCCCGTAGAAATTGCGTAACTACTTTGCACGATAATCACAATAAAATTTGCTGCGCAAGTAATTCAATAGCCCCATATCACAGTGTAGAAGTTTATCGTATACCTGTGTATGAAATGCACAATGGCCGATATGTAAGTAAACAAGATGACTGTAATGTGTTAGTTATATATTCTTCACTTCGTCTATGCAATACATAAGAAATAGTTTGGTTGCAATAAAGTAGAATCACGTAACAGAATAGTTGTATAGTTGACAAAAACTGAATCTTGCACTGACGCAAATGTCCTATAGCGGCTGCAAGGGGCTTACACTTTTGTTGTATAAATGTTACCTGCAGCCCTTATACGACCTCTTAAATGACTGAAGTGTCCTATTAGGTGTGACCATTCCGCTTGTATAGCTGTTCTAAGAGGGTTTTGCCAATGTTCTTACAGTATACAATGCTGTGTAAGAAATACTGTATAATCATTTTTGCAACTCTAATAGCAGTGATAATTGTTAGTTGGGACGTAAATAGTGAAAATGGCTGCCGTGCATGCGGACCTTGTAATATTTGTCTGTAATACTTTCATCGATTTTTTATTGTAAATGTAAATAAAATGTATTCGGCGTTGCTTTTGAAAAGAATTACTGTTTAACTTTTGAAAAAGTTACTTTCTCATATTGAATTTCAGAAGACAAACTCTGGTAAGACTTGAAATCACTAAGTCTCATTTGAATAACTTTGTATTGCCTGTGGCTGCTAACTTTAAGGTGAACCCTAATAAGCGAGAGCAGGCTGTAATATTCCGCTCTGCTAAGTACCCTTTCTATTGCACTGTGAACAGAATCAACTTCTTGAACACAAGAGTGACCTGGAATGGAGTAATTAATAGTTATAATCTGCAAGTTATCCGTTTGCCAAAGAAACTGTGTGATAGCAATCCAAATTATAGAATTCCTGTTTTAAGGGACACATCTGTCACTCCATAGGGTTGAATGCTTTATGTCGGATGTTCCATTCGACTAAATTTTACAAAGAGCACTTGCTATATCTGTACCTTTTCTTTTGTCATAACCACCAAACTGATCTTCATCATCAGACTCTATATTCATCATGTTTATAATACTTTATTTGACCTGAAAACATTATACCACTACCACGTTCTTACAACATAAACAAAAGAGGCAAAGTTTAATGTAGAGTAGTACCTTCACAACAATAAGCACTGAATGATGCAACAAAGTTCTATGTTGCATGCATAACATATATTTTTGGGCCATCACAGAAGGTCCTGCAAGTTTTTTGCTAAAATGCGTAGTCTTTGTACTACAGCTTGCTGATGGTTTATCGGTGAGCGGCTTGCGGGGAAAGGGTGCACGCACCTGCATTCCTGCATACCACCAAACTGCCAACGCACCATCCACCAGAGTTGCCAGGTTTTCAGTCACGTTGGTCGCAAAGTTTTGATGAGAAGGTCGCCAGAACTCACCAATCTTTGAAATAACTACGAGTCAACCATAAAACGCCAGATTAGAGATTGGAATGAATTTGTGGGAGGGGGGAGGGGGGTGGTGGGGTAGTAGCCTGCCTGTTAACTGAAGTGCGGAGGTGAGGGAGGTTAGACATAATAATAATATTATATGATAGTAAACAACTTCTTGAAAAGGGAGAAGGGAGGATGGAAGGGGGGTGTCATCTGAAAGAAACTATAAGTTCATTCACATGGGGCAGAACCGTTGTGCTTAGAGCACAGAACTTTCTCGTTTCATGCTCCATTAGTCTATACAATTATTTTTTACCTCGATCCACAAAATTGCTATCATATGATGAATTTAAAAGACATATGAAGAAATTTATTTTGTATGCATAGAAGAATATAAATTAGTTGATAAAATTTATCTGTCACCTCACACAAAAATATTACCAATATAGCAATCCTTTGTTTGTTACAATTTTATACTTTCAACTCATTAAATATTGAATAGCCTTCACTTATATATGTTACGGGTGTATACATCATATTTTTTATCCTGAATACTAGGCGCCACTAAAGTAGCCAATCGCCAATCAATTTTAGTCACCATTTGAAGTTGTCAAATCGCTACTTTGGCGAAACGCCACGCCACGCACTACACCATTCGTCATTGTCTGTCAGAGCGGTCCGTAGGACCTTTGCTCTAGGTTGAAGTCTTGTAAGTCAGTAGGTCTGTCAGGTCTGGTTGCCCAGATACCAAACAAAGTCAGGGAGAAAGAAGGGAAGAAGAAAGGAAGGAAGGAAGGAGGGAGAGCAAAGAAAAAAGAAGTGCATCAATTTGGCAATTCGGCAATTTTAAATTGATCCTAAAATTAATTTTGGGATTGGTTGTTGAAGAAAAATTATAATTTTGGTTGGACCTAAAGTCGCACGATTTAATTTTGTTCACAGTGCGAGTCGCGGCTTTGTGTGCTTGTGAACTTGCTCGACTGTGTAGTCTACTGACTCGCGCAACAAAGGGTTGTTATGCGATTCTGCTTGACTGTAACGTAGCTGCGCTTGTTATTTTTGATGTAGTCCCTTACGTAAGGGATGTCAAGGTCTCTGTGAAGGGTCTCGTTGGAAACATACCATGGGGCGTTAGTGATTGTACGCAAGGTTCTGTTCTGCAAAACCTACAGGCTACGCAAATGCGTTTTGGCGAGAAAACACCAAGCCGCACGTAAGTGATCGCTGGTCTAATAACCTTCTTGTATAGTCGAATTTTGTTGATCAAACTTAATTTTGATGTTCTACATAGCATAGGGTAGAGTTGCCGAAACGAGATTTGGAATTTAGTTTTTAACGCTTCAGTGTGCTCCCGCCAGGTTATCCCCTTGTAAAGAGTGACACCGTGATACTTAGCAGAGCTTTCCCATGGTACCCGAGCTCCATTCACTGAAACCTCAGACGGGGCGCCGCTACGTTTTTTAGTAAAATAGATTGCCTGCGTTTTCGAATGATTAATTTTGATCAGCCACCGATTCTCCCATTCCAATACCTCGTCCACTGCACTTTGCAGCCTGTCGTGAACTAGATCCCCAGAGCACGACTGGGCCACCAGGGCAGTGTCATCAGCATAGAGATAGGTTTCACAGCTGCTGGGGCAAGGGACGTCATGAATAAAAAGTGAATAAAGGACTGGTCCAAGAACCGAACCCTGAGGGACACCGGCTTTGATGGGCCGTGTTGTCGACAGAACGTTACTAATTTTAATCCGAAATGTCCTACCTTCGAGAAAGGGTTTCAAAGGTTTTAGGAGCCAGAAGGGGAAGCCCTTATGGATCAATTTGTAGAGAAGGCCCTTGTGCCACACTTTGTCAAATGCCTTTGCGACATCCAGTAGCAAGATGCCAGTACTTTCGATACGGGTGAACCCGCTGGTGACTCGTTCAACAAGCCTTATGGCCTGTAGCTCCGTACTATGCTCAGACCGAAAGCCAAATTGCACGTCAGGAATCACATTGTGGTCTGCCGAGAAATTTTCAAGGTGACGTAGAATCACCCTTTCAGCGAGCTTAGAAGGAGCTGACAGTAGACTAATGGGGCGGTAATCCTGAGGGAATATCGAACCCACCTTCTTTGGAATCATTATGACATCAGCGGTCTTCCACGCCGTTGGGAAGTGCTGGGTCCTTAGCATGGCATTGATTATTGCCACGAGATAAGTTAAGGACTTCCGCGAAAGTAGCTTCAGCGCCTTATTAGTGATTCGATCCTCTCCAGGTGCTTTACGCACCTTGAGGTCTTTAACCCTCCAGGGGTCGCGCGGCCTCAAACAACGTCATCGGTCGCGTGTATAGACGTTATCTAACATAAGGCGCGCAATTAGATTTTTTCTAAAAAGTTAATTTTCTATATTTTTGGAATAAAAGCAATATTTTTTAAATGGTATTATATATATATATATATTTTATTAAAAACAGAGAAAATAAGAATCTAACTATAGAATTAACTTTTATGTGTTATGATAAACAGAGGAAATAAGAATCTCTTCTCCAACATCATTACATTCTTTACAAATAAAAATAGTTGATAAGGTATGCTCTTTACAGATAGGTGTTTGACAGCGGTCACACTTATGTTGTGTAAATCTATTTTTGGCAATATCCGCACCTTGGTTTCTGCTCTGGATTCTGTGGGGGTGTATTTTTCTTTTGAATGTCAGTAATCGATCGAATTTTTTGTCCAAGAGGAAAAGAAATATTTGTAAGGGGAGCTCGTTTCATCGTGTGTGGTCTTATAAGCTCTTTTGCCAAAGATGTAATGAATGCGCGTCTTGGTATAGTTTTTCCATGGTGTGCCATCCTTTCCAGTGAAATGCGGTATTTTCTTCAAAGCAGATAGAGATAAAGGTAAACAAATATCCTCGTCATCAGAGTCCGAGGATTGCTCCGTATTAGTATCATGCAAACTGTGTTCAGAGGCAGCGTCATTTATGTCTAACTCAGACCCTACATCTGATTCAACTTCTTCGTACCATTGCTGCAATTTGGCTTCTGTTCTTGGTGAAATCATATATGGAAAGACCAATAATAAGTCTAATTATTGACGACATTTGACCTGCCGTATATTTATTTACAAGACAAAATAAAATCTAACCAAGAATATGATAAAAATTATGTCAAGGAATTCATAGAAAACGAGAAAACATGACAGACATACCAAAATCATAATCATTCTTTATTACCAGTAAAATCAAAAAGTTTGACAAAGCAACGCCACAAAAAAAATGAGCTTTGAGCCCTTAGCAATATTTAAAATTATCCTTTTGTATTAGTTACGTGACAGTTCAACTTACCAAGATTATCGAAAAAATCACATACGGGATAGGTCGCACCGTAAGATTCTTGCTAACACTTTTGAACAACGTGATCGGTCGCGCGTTAGATATATACTAAAATTATCAAATTCAAGATGACTATTTACTTTATTTGCACGCGAATTATGCATAGATGTTGCCTAGCGACACCAATGAGGCATTCCAGGAGTCTCAAGGCTATAATACTAATTTTTAATAAGAACTCTGTAGTGAATTATATTTTGTTAGATTTTTTCTAACACCGAGACTGATGGAGGGTTAATATGACCCTGGAGCTCTGCTGGTGTGCAATGCGGTGTCTCAGGAGATTCCGCTGCAGCTCTTCAATTGAGGAATCTTCTGAAGATTCCTCTGAGGAAAAATCACTAAGGGAGGCACTACTGCCGCCACGCCACGCCTGACGACCCAGACAGACGATCTCTTACTACATAGTGGGGGTTATTCAGTAATAGTCCAGATGAATTTTGAACCCTGAGCTCGCTTGTCAGTTTGGCGTTCACCGACTTTTGCGAATGAACTAATTTTCGAAGTTTATGAATAGAAGTTAAATATTTTTTCAGAATATTTCATTGGAAGCAAGAAGTTATGGACAAACCATTTATCGGAAGGTGTATCAATTTTGCGTATTTTCTACTTTGATAGGATGACAATTTTTAATTATTATGTTTCTATTCAATTAACTCAACTCTGAAATCTACACACATACTTATAGTCCTTCCATTGTCAATAATTGGAAACGCAAAAATCCCTGAGCTGCGCAAAAAAGGTGTGAAGTCCTGTGCAGATAAATGCAGCGAGTGTGCAGACAACACATCGGCAAATGCTCATCATAATCGGCCATTGTCTATTCTTTACATATTTGCGTTGGCGTATGTTAGCCTAACGTATAGACGTGGCTCAAGAACTGCTAAATCTCTCGTCATGGTCGTAGATCAAGAACTACCGGTGATCAAACTGATTTGCGAGGATGATTATGAAAATGACGTTTAACCTAGAAAACGAGTCTTTTGATGACTCATTGAGCTTCTGCATCCTGTAATGTATTCTTATCATTGCCACTCATTTATACACATTCACACCTTTTTTGCAGCTCTAGGTTTTTTGTCGTTGTTCCAATTCTATATGAAAATACTATAACCTCACTTATCCAGTCAATCGGTAAGCGGCTAAAGAGAAATTCCTGCATCTTGTACTCTACTTAAATGCATAAATTTAAAAATCTATTAATATGCATACGTCGGTGAACGCCACAACTGCAAATGAGCTTATTATTCGAAATCGACTGGCCTATCACTGAGAGTGAGACACTGAGGACGTCCATATGTTAAAAGAGGATCGTCTGCGTCAACGGTGCAGTTAGCTCTGAAGAACGCACTCGCGGAACTCCAAAACAGCAGATGGAATGCAGCCTGTGCAGAACTAGAGACCCAGGATGGTACGGCCTGGTCTATGCAGCGAAAATTTCGTCGTCAGCGCACCACGATCCCCACTCTTCACGGCCAACGCGGCTTGGCCTACTCCAGTGAAGAAAAAGCCGAAGCATTCGCCGATTCGCTAGAATCCGAATGCAGACTCAATTACCATGAAGACGAGGACGACAACCACGAGGAGGCCGTGGAAGTCGCAGCCGAAAACATGAGGAGTCGACCACCTGGCCAGGAGACGGATCACCCCTCCAGTCCAGAGGAAATCCGTCTGATCATCCGCAGGTTGAAGGTCAGAAAGGCGCCGGGAAGGGACGGCATCAACAACAGGATGCTGAAGAACCTTCCCACCTAAGGCATTGCTGCGCTCACCAACATCGCCAATGCCACCCTGAGACTTAACCACTTCCCGCGGCGGTGGCGGGAAGCCCAGGTTATAATGCTCACCAAGCCAGGCAAGGACCGGAAGTTGCCCCAGAACTACCGGCCCATCAGCCTGGTTTCCTCGATGGGCAAAGTAGTCGAAAAGGCTATCGCCGTTCGACTAGAGAAGCAGGCAGAGGAACTGCAACTTCTCCCCCAGAGCAATTCGGCTTCAGATCCTCGCACAACACGGAACTCCAAGCGCTACGACTGACAGAAAACATCACCAGCGGCTTCAATCTCCAGGAGGCAACCGGTCTCGTCCTGCTGGACGTGGAACGAGCCTTCGACCGAGTTTGGCACGATGGACTCATCGCCAAAATGGAAGCCGCCGGAATCGATGCGAACATGTGCCAACTAATCCAGAGCTATCTAACACAAAGATGGTTCACGGTGAAGATTGGTACATGCCATTCAACAAGACGACAGCTGGAAGCAGGTGTGCCCCAGGGGTCAGCCTTAGCCCCCTGCTCTACAACATCTATACTTACGATGTGCCGAAGACAGCTGACACAATGCTGGCCCTATATGCAGACGACACTGCTATGTTATAGCCGCCAAGCATAGACGACCCGAGATCATCCGTAGGAGACTACAGGATGAACTGGACCAAATTCAGGACTGGTGCGTGAAGTGGAAAATCCGCATCAACGTCCAGAAGACGCAGGCAATCTTCATTCAACGAAGAAGGATTGCAAGACCTCTCGAAGCATCCATCTTCGATGAAGATATCCAGTGGAGCGACAATGTCAAATATATGGGGATCGTTTTTGACAAGTCCCTCACCTGGAAATCGCACATAGAAGCTGTCATCGCAAAGACCAGAGCAGCCATGGCTCAACTCTATCCATTACTGGGTAGACACAGCCAGATGCCGCTAGCGACCAAGCTACGGCTGATCAAGGCCATCGCCAGACCTCAGCTCGCTTACGCCTCCGCGGTCTGGGGGTACGCTGCCCCCAGCTACCGCAAGCTCTAGAGATGAAGCTACTCCGGATCGCCACCAATGCACCTTCCTACGTAAGGAACTCAACCTTGCGTAGAGACCTGCATTGGGATACCATCCACGAGTACATGAGGAAAAAAGCAGAGAAGACCTTCGAGAAAGCTCAGGACCACCCGAACGAGCAGCTACGATTCCTCATGGACTACGATCCGGACGAGAGGCCTCGCAACCGCAGAACCAGGTACCCCAGACCAAGGTCCCAGTTGGCACCCGCTAACTGGAACCTTGACTAGGAGACTAGGAGAACTTGCGCTTAACGACATCGATAGAATGTGCGAGGTAAAGGGAACCAACCCGGCGTTCCCAGAGACTGAAACACATGAGGAGACGTTGTAGCAGACCGCAGGTCACGCACAACACATGGCCTAGCGAGACGCTGATGAGTCGGGCCACGCGGAGGTTTAGGGTTTAGTGGGTATTAGGTGCTCTCCTCAAGACCCTGGAGTCCCACACACGCCGTAGCTCGGGCTATGGTATGGTGCGTAAATGCATTCCCCCCTCACCAAAAAAAAAAAAAAAAAAAAACGGTGCAGCGGCTGGTGATATATGCACGTCCTTGACCCCGCAACCCGCAAGCCCCTCGCAAGCAGTCAGCAAGCTGTAGCGCGAAAACTAAGCAATTTGGAAAGAAACATTGCAGAGACCTATTTTGATGATCCACAAATTAGAAAAATTTACGTGTAAAAAATCCCAGATATCCTCAAGCGTTGCAGCTAAAAAGAGTTTTTTTTGAGTTTTTCGCTGTTTTACAAAAAACGGCTGGTTTCCGGAAAACCAAACTCTTACGACAAAATTTGCAAGCCTATATTACACCATTACGCCAGCGGACATAACTTTGTGCCTATGTTATCACTTTTGCGGCAGTTTCAGCTATTTAACTGGACTATAAGTACTTATAGTGTTATTAATTAAAGAAAGAGCAGTTCAGACAATTCTGAAGTAACAGTATGCTTTTTTGTTTATTAATAGGCATCTTTGTAAAATTAATGAATTAATTAGAATATATTATCAATTTTAACCGGGTACAAATCAAAAGCATTCTTTTCCCATAAAACGTTACAATCCGAGAAGTGTTACAGCACGTTCTCATCGCCCCTGCAAAATGTGAAATTCGCAGTTACTATGTTCTGGTTTATGGTGCTTTCAAAAGTTGAGGTCGATATATTTCGCTTTCGTATTCTATGAAATTAGGTATGATCCAAGTAGCCTATTGTCATTTATACGCCACCTCCATGGTGGCTGAAACATCGTGTGTGTAAAAACTAACTCAAACATATGTGGTTTCATTTAGCGGTCGGACAAACGTGGAGAATTATACAGGGTGGCGCATCTGAGTCGAAACAGACGCATTTACTGGCAGCTCAGCTTTTTTTTTGGAATAACGATTTTGTCTTCGAGGGGGACACAAGTTTGACAAAAAATGACGTGAACACCTGCAGCCCCCTGGGCGGGGGTGACACCAACCCTAAAATCTTAAATGGAATGGGGGGTCGAGTGATACCTTATTTTAAAGGTCTTTCAATTCCCTTTATAATGATATAAAATTAATGTACCTACTTCAGTTTAGTAGTTTTGAAGATTTATTAATTTAAAGCTTAAAGTAGACTTTAATAGGTACATCAGATTAGTTTGTACTACTTTCAGAAGAAATTTGACTAAAAGAATTTACGCCCTAGGTTTGTTTATCATTTTTTTGTTGAAAATAGCTATTGGAGCGTTTTTTTGTGGCAAAAAGTTATTTCTTGAAGAAAGATAAGGAAATATCTCGTACTTATTTTAAATAGGAATTTAGTACATAGTTTGCGATTCATTTGACCAAACTTTGTTGCTAAAATAACTTGTAACGCTTTATTACATAAATCAACCATGGTATATTCCACATCAGAAACAGTTGAAATTATCGAAATATTTTTCGGAAATAATCAGTGCGCTAATAGAACAGCCGAAATATTTAATAAGCGACATGAGAACAGTAACGTGCATCGAAAATATGTTCTAGAACTTGTAGCTAAATTTTGGGAAACTGGGTCAATCGCCAATAAAAAACGCAACATTGAAAATCCCCTATGGAACGAAGCAATAGAAGTGGGGGTTTTAGGGCAAGTTTTTGTAGATCCTACGTTAAGTACCCTCAAATTGGAGACTGTGTGTGGTGTTAGTCGACGAACTGCCCAACGGATTCTAAAGGCCCATAGT